ATGCATAATAGAGATTGAGGGAACTACATTACTATGGAAAAGTAATGTAGTAAGAATGACCATGAACTCTTGAACAGTGAACAGGAGCCATTTCAAGGCCTTGCTCAGTAGCTCTGAGTAGTCTGAGATTTCATCAGATATTGTACACATGCTCTCCAAGATTTACTCCAAAGCCTTAATCCATAAATGTTTTTAAAGGGAGGAGAAGAATGGAAAGCTAATATCCTAAGGGTGCCAAAGCAGATCTGCTGCAACTGTGTGAGCATCAAATAGGTACATGCACTAAATAGCTGCAATGCTGCATTGAATACCAAGGTGCAGAGTAGGTAGGTAGGAATATGCACAGGCTCAAAAACCTCTTCTCTACATTTTGTCTTGGTTTCATGGTAAGTCACATCTCCTCAGAACTTCAGTTAATTTGAATGGCTCTGAGAGGTGTTCATAGGTTCCAAATTTTTAGATGGCTAAGTCCCTAATTATAATAAACCTATGAAAAAAATCATTCTTAGGTTCTCTTGGCAATGTTGTAGGTGCTACAGGGTAGCTTCTTGCCAGACTTCTCTTGCTATACATCTTAAAATCACACATGAGAAGTTATGCTAATTCACACAACTTTTCAGGAGAGGGAAGTAGCCAAGCAACTCCCACACTAAAGGACCCCCAACCATTAGGTCCAGTCGTGACCGACTCTGGGGTTGCAGCGCTCATCTTGCTTTATTGGCCGAGGGAGCCGGTGTACAGCTTCCAGGTCATGTGGCCAGTGACTAAGCCACTTCTGGCGAACCAGAGCAGCACACGGAAATGCCGTTTACCTTCCCGCCGGAGCAGTACCTATTTATCTACTTGCACTTTGACGTGCTTTCGAACTTCTAGGTTGGCAGGAGCAGGGACCGAGCGACGGGAGCTCACCCTGTCACGGCAATTCGAACCGCCGACCTTCTGATCGGCAAGTCCTAGGCTCTGTGGTTTAACCCACAGCGCCACCCGCATCCCTAAACTCCCACATTACTGAGGTAATATAAGGGCAGACTCCTGAGGTGCTATAACTTTTATAAAACCTGTAAACCGACATTTGAAATATGCTTTTAAAAAATTAATAAAAAAGGCATGTTATTATGTAAGCATTTTCAGCAAACTGGAGATGTAAGAAAATGGGCATAGTTCAACAGTAACAAACTGTTAATTTTTTCTACTAAATATGGTTGATTTTAGTATTAAAACCATGGAAATGGTGAAAAACAAGTGGGATCATTTTGGCAAAAAACTTGAAGCTTTGTCCATCTGGATCACTGAAAAAGAAAAAGAGCTGGATACCTTGGAAACAACATCGTCCTTGGATATGCAAATCAGCCAAGTTAAGGTGATTGGTTCGCATTATATTTAGCATTAAACTACTGCTTTCTCTCTTCTCTAGAAAGCTTCAAAAGAGAGGAAAATGCTTTTATCTGATTTCACAGCTGCAAAGATGTAAAAAAGAATGTATCGCACTTTGAGACAAAGATACCAAGGATAAAGGTTTTGCAGGAAGTGTGCCCCCTATAGAGTTGAATTTACACTCAGACCTTTTAGTTTATGTAATAGGAAAACATATAATGGTGTGAATAGATAGATATATTTTCCATTAATATTCTTTACCTGCAAAATATCCTCATGGTATATTTTCACAGAGTGTATAATGTTTTATATCGTGCTATGTATTGCAGCCAGTGGCTACAGTAATTTATTCCAGTATAGTAGATAATTTATGATTTTTGTGTATCATGTTTCTCAAATAATGCTGAAATAATAAAGCAACTACTGGGCTCAGCAGTTTCTATACTCAAACCTTTGCTACATACTCTGAATTCTTTTTGTCATATGCTAGGTTCTGTTTTCTTTTTCCTGGTGCATTAATAAAATATCAGATGCACATAGTATCTTCAAGTGCTCCTTGACTGTGAACAAGAAAAAGTTGCCAATTTCAGAGGATTGTTTTTATTTCTATCCCATTTTGTTGCAAATGCACAAACACACAAACATATTTTCAACTCTCTCTTTATCTCAGTGGCAAATAATTCAGCTGAAAGCTATGCCTTTATTATGTGATTGGAATCCCCTCACCATACAGATGGCTAGAACTGATAATCTTTTGTAGGATGGTGGTTCCTAGATTTAGAAACAACAACACTTGCAACCAAGGATTTACTAGCATCATAAGAGTAAACAGTGAAGCATGGCAGTGCTTGATGACCAGTTTTGCACCATGGGGGAATAGAAGTGCAAGCTACTCCCTCCACAATGTCTTATATGTGGTGTCAGGTCCGGTGAAGTTCACCATTCTCGATGGATTCTAGGGTTAATGTGTCTCAGAAATGAAAATATCATTTTTATTTTTATTTTTCTTCCATTGAGCATTTTTGCTTAGAGTTTCAAGCTTACAGCTTGAGGTCTACTCTATTCAAGTCCTTTTAAGTTTCTTGAAAATCAGTGGTGCTTAAGTGCTCCTGATTCATGAATAGAAGATCTGAGCCAAATAAATAAATAAATCTTAGGCAAGTTTCTTAGCTTGTACTGTGGCTCCATTTCATTCTATCAGAAGGCATTTTAAAAATAGTCTATTGCTCTCTTTTTTCTGTATTCTGAAACACATATTTGATAAAACTTTCTGAAATCAGAACATAAGCTGTAGGAAAGTGTCATTAAATTTCTATACTTAAATCTGAAAATGAGAACATCCACCATGTCTTAAAACAATGGGGAGGGATACTCTTTAAAACTTACAGTAGCAAATTATCCTAATTACTACAAAAATGTATGTACTGCAGTTTTATGTTATCTTTTTTTATTTGCTAAGGATGGTGGAATAGATTTCATGGGAAATAATTTTTCCAAACAAAAGTATCTGGATAATATACATTATTACAATTTAAATTACAAATCACATATTACGTCTTTTGCAAATACTGTTTTGTGGTGGTGATGTTTTGCTTCATGTTGGTGTGTGTTAATGGCCCAGCTTGCATGTCATGTTAAACCATAGTTAGTTTAATTATTGTTTAATGCAAATGAGCAGCATGTCAAGGCACACTTTTCCAAAGTCCCTACTTCACTTCTCCTGCGCTCTTCTCCTTGGCTGTACCAGAAGCAGCAAACCACAAGTCTGGGCTTCTTTCTCTCTGAACAAATTATGTGTGGTAACCAAGATTTGTTAATGGCTTACTGCTCATGGTTGGGGGGAAACAACCACAAGCTCAGGGTCAGCTGATATGACAAGGTAGGGATTATGCTTTGTTGTTGCCAGTACAATGTAGCCTAGTGAAGTGGGGACTTTTGGGCCATTTATGCTTTCATGCAATGTGCATTGCCATGCTGGCTGGGGTTGATGGGAGTCTAAAACATCTGGATGGCATTGAGGTTACAATGGTGTGTGTAACATAATAAGTGAACACAGTGATTGCGTGCTAGTATATATATGTTTGTTCTTGTCTGTGTGCCTATATGAGCTGGTGTATCCTTTATATATTGTCAACTGAATTACAGAAGATAAATAAATATTACGAAATTCTGAGATATTTTGAGAAAAATGCATTAAAAGAGAAATATAAACACACAAAATTGAACAAGGAAATATATACAGAAATAATGAAACTAGTTAAGTGGATGTCTAAACTTCAGGTTCAAACTTACTGCTGTTCTTCTAGGTCACATTCCTAGAATAAGGGTGTATATAAGCATGTGACTTTGTTCACTTGGTTTAGTCATCTGAAGCTTGTTTGTTGCTTCTCGTTGCATGTGCCAAACTGTGGTATTGATAATGCATTTGGGGAGACAGATATGTAAATAATTCTCCTCTAGTAAGGTGGCTGTTTGATCGTCATTAACACCATTCTAACTGCAAGAATCTGAGACAAATATTGGTTAGCAGCATAAGGAGGGCCAACTGGAGATCCAGACAGTGATTTTACCTGACATCCTGCTCTTGTTCTGGATTACAAATGCCAAAGTATAACATATTTGCACTTTGCGTCAATTGTGAAGGGCATATGCATGTCTCAAATGTAACTTTCCTCTTTATAATACACAAAAAATGTAAATGAGAAAGGATTGGCCTCTTCCATTCAGTATATATGAAAAGGTAGCACACATAGGGTATGTGCATCTGTGCTCAGTTCTACTATAGAACTGGATTTCACCTTTTCTGCTTTGGAGGGGACAACAGCAATTATCACCATAACCTGACAACTGTGGACATATGCACTCTATAAGGCAATATAGTTTTTTTCTAGGAAAAGCCAAAAGACAGAATCAAAGCAAGAAAAATAAAAAACAAGTACAATATGTACACAAGAAATGTATGTATGTGAAGATTTATTCTGCTTTGCATAATATATTGTGGTTCATATTAAACAATACAGTAATATATAAACAGCACACTATTATCATATCAAAGTAATGTTTTATTGCATTTTAATACAATAAAACGTGCTTTTAAATATAAAGGTTTGGAGCATAAAATGCTTCTTGGTTCATGTAAGGGAGCGAGCCACCCACATCATTTCTTAAGGGTTACCGATGACCGGATTTTGGAGAGTTCAGGGTGCTGAGAAGGGAATAGTGTGAGAAAATCTCCTTCCACTCTTCCATGAGTGGAAGTTAGCATCCAAACCACACTTTGTTATATTTTCAAAATTCCTCTGATGAAGTGAATTTTCCCTCAAAGGGTTTTGGGCATTAACAGTAATTCAAGAAGCCTTTTTAAAGAACACTATATTTAATTGCATTGTGAACTCCTAGGAGAGAAAGACATGTTATATATACATCTCTTGTGCACTTATTGTCATTGGCTTTTGTTTTATATTGGTTTTATACCATTTTAACTGTCATGGCTTCCTCCAGAAAATCCCAAGAACTGTAATTTGGAGGCACTGTGAGAGTTATGTTTGAGAGCAGTATTCCCCTCACAGAAGTATAGCACCCTGTGGTTAGAGAACTAAAGTTAGATGTTTTTAAGCCTGCCATGAGGTTAGCTCAGTTGGTTAGAGTGTAGTGCTAATAATGAAAAGGTTGCTGGTTCGATCCCCGTAAGGGACAGCTGCATATTCCTGCATTCCGGGGGGTTAGACTATACGGTCCTCAGGGTCCCTTCCAACTCTATGATTACACACACACACACACACACACACACACACACACACACAGAGTTACCTGGATTGTTTTTCTGTGGAACAAAATGAGCCCATAGCAAAATGCCCACAATCCCTTCTGCTTCTCAGAATCACTAGGTGAAAGAGGATAAATGGATAATTTCATGTTAGCCTGGCTGGGTGCATAAACCAGGAGAAACGCCAATAGTTATTGTCACAATAATGGTTGGTAGGCAGGAGTCCAAAAGCCACCTACACTCTCCATTTATTGCTGCATGTTAGAAGATGAGTGTGGGAGTAAGATTATATAACAGCTACCTGCTTTACAGAAAGATGAAATATTTTGGCTACAATAGCAGTAAGAGTGTTTCCCACAGGACATGCGAAAATACTGACAAACGATAGCCTGTTATAATTTGATTAATTCCAAATGCATACCTGGAAACTTAAATCTGGTGAATTGTCGTGGAATCCTCTTAAAGATTGACTTCATAATTTTTCTGACTTACTATGGGGGAGGCACAATGTTTTCTAGCAGAAAAACTAGTAGAAGTCAATTATTGTTTAACGTGATCTGCATATTAAAAATCAAATGGTTAAATAGTTACTGATAATGCAGTGATGTGATATATGCCCAGTGCTTTTTTTCTGGGGGGACGCAGGGGTACACATACCCCTAAACATTTTGAGAATCTAAGTTTGGCCTCATTGAGGAGCAGTTTTTCAATATGAGTAGGAAAATGAGAGTACCCATAAACATTTTTTATAGAAAAAAGCACTGTATATTCCATACATATACCACAGCACAATATTGCCATTAACAATTTAACTACTGAGTTTGTAATATGCTGATCATGTTAAAACTTTAATTGTCTTTCACTGTTTTTCCTGCTACAAAGCAATATAACTATTTGCAATGGAGTTCTGCTTGCTCTCCATAGAGAGAGTCCCGTGCATTTGTGAATCATTCACCATCCATCTGCAACTGCTATCTGGAACTATTTAAATTGGTTTCATGTGGTAACTGCAATGTGTGAAGTCGCCCATATATAACTCCTATATATGTGCATGGCTCGCAGGAAAGCAATAAACACATACTATAGATTCTTTACGTACAAATTTATTTGCATTTTAGGTCATTATTAAAGAAATAGACGACAAGGAAAATGAAATCCCAAGCTTAGAAAAGGATGCTCAGTCATTTTCTCAATATCTTACATCTGGAGAATCAGCACATATCAAAGCCAAGTTGACACAGATCAGAAGGTATTGGGAAGAACTCCGGGATCGTACACAGCATCTGGAAGGATCAGTGACTGGAAAGGCATCAATACAGCAAAAATTTGAAGAAAACTTTGCAAAGGTAGACAACGTAAACTTGTTCTGTCATTCAAAAGAGAGTGGCCATTAAATGTACTGTCAGGGAAGACCTCAAAAAGTGCACTTAAAAGAAATGCTTTCTGTTGTACACACTTGAATTAATGGGGTATTTTGTAAGCATGAGTTGCAATCCTCTGCGGGTAATGTAATGCTAAAACTAAACTAAAACCAAGATGAACTAGACTGATCTGCCTGCAGAACAGAAAGTGTCACCATGTTTTTTAAATTATCCATTCTTGTTGGGGATATAGAGTGTAACACTGTCTATGTCTACTCAGAAGTAAGCCCCACCAACTTCAGCTGGACCTAATCCAGTTATGGGTGTAAGGTTTTCCTCCAAAGAGTTGGATGCAATGCTAGGCCCACTCAACAGAGTACATCTGTTGAAATTAATTGACATGACTAACATAGGTCCATTAATTTCAATGTGTCTACTCTGAGTAGAACTTAGTTGGCTGCAGCCCAGAGCTTTCTACCTTGAGCACAATTAACTGGAGTGGGGGTACTGGTGGGATTTCCTACCAAATAAGCATGCATAGATGTGTAGATATTTGTAACTTTGTAAATCTTTAGTACTTTTTCTTAATTTCTCTGGTTTAGGCCCAAGAGGAGCTGTGCAGATATGAAGGAAAACTGGCAGAGACTGATACTTCATGCTGTTCCTCAGCAGAGACTTACAAGGCCCTTCATAATGTTACGGTAAATATATATAAAGTTTGTTACCTAGTTTCATGTTTAGCATGGAAGAGGTATTTGTACTGGCTGTAGCCAACATTCACCCAACTGAAGAAATCTTGGTTGAACATTACTTCTGCAATCAGCAATCTTGGTGTTGTGGGGGCAAGAGAGAAGCCCCATTTGTTTTAAACGAGCGTGAGCAGGGGTGGTCAACAGGACTAACAGAATAGGTGGGGGAAAGTTAGCTAAAAAAGATATTGTTTCAGTTCCACCCAGTAACACTACTGTCCTAAGACAGTCTTAAGAAGGCTAATCAGAAAGCTGTAAGTGTTGCAGGTAGGCATTGTCCCAATTCAGCCTTCCAGAAAAAATAAAATATGACAGCAGTTGCCTTTTGTCCACAGCATAGTGGTGTTTCTACAGATAGTTTTGCATGATGTGGTGCCACCATCAATAAAGCCTTGTAACCTCTAAGTATCAGCCTGGGTTGAGCAGTTATACAACCAGCCAAGCCTGAACACCTTCTGGCATTACTGCACTTCTTGTTGTTGTTTAGTCATGTCCGACTCTTCGTGACCCCATGGACCAGAGCACGCCAGGCACTCCTGTCTTCCACTGCCTCCCGCAGTTTGGTCAAACTCATGCTGGTAGCTTCGAGAACACTCTCCAACCATCTCGTCCTCTGTCGTCCCCTTCTCCTTGTGCCCTCAATCTTTCCCAACATCAGGGTCTTTTCCAGGGAGTCTTCTCTTCTCATGAGGTGGCCAAAGTATTGGAGCCTCAGCTTCAGGATCTGTCCTTCCAGTGAGCCTTCAGGGCTGATTTCCTTAAGAAGAGATAGGTTTGATCTTCTTGCAGCCCATGGGACTCTCAAGAGTCTCCTCCATCACCATAATTCAAAAGCATCAAATCTTCTTCTACTGCACTTGAGTATGAGTTAAATAAAGCCATGGCATAATTAGTTCTACTTCTTTTTAGCTATGTGCAAGACTATGTGAGGGCCACGGGGTTGGTAATTGTCTTCTCTTTTGTTGTGTTGAATTAAATAAGGATCTTTGTCAAGTTCTGGAAAAAATGAACCAAACACTGGCCTCTCTGTCATCTGGTTCTCGCAAGATCATGAATAAAGAAAAAGCTGCCCAGGATGTTTTGATGCTTCAGCAAAGACATGAAATGGTTATGAGACAAGCTAAAGATAGACAGGCCTCGCTAGAGGTTCACCTAGCACAGTGGCAGAGGTGAGAAAAGCACTATGTGATATGCAGGCAGAAAAAATATCTGCAGCTGTCCCCTAGCTTTTGGTTTCATGAGACTTGAACTGATGAGCTTTTTTTTTGGCTGTGTTCTGGTAGACAGGAGAAGGAGCTCTCCACTTTCACGATTTGGCTAGAAAGGTGTGAAGCTGCAGCCAGACCTTCAGAGCAACATGTTGCTGCCGACAGAGTCAAAGTGGAAAGTGAGCTGCAGTTAGTCCAAGTAAGTTTTGTGGGTTGGCATAGGTTGCTTGCATTGTTCTTGTAGGTTATACTGGGAAATAATTACATGCTATTATTGTTTTACAAAACAGTGTGTAGACCTGCAACTCGTGGCAGCTTTCCACTGAATGCTTGAAAGGAGCTAAGCTTAAGGCATAATTTTAAAATCTGCTCACTGAAATGAGCTCAAGACATAGGGTTGTATTCAACATAGTGCTAAGCAAGCAATTCCGTAATGCAAGGATTTCTGCTTGTGCAACAGAATACACACACATACTATATCTGTTATGGGGTCCCCCAACCATCCAGAGCAGATGTGAGGAGGACATGGGGTGAATTCAGAGGGAGCAGAGGGGTGGAAGTCCCACTGCACTAGCAGTAATCTTTGTGCTGACAAAGATTAGGTACTGATTTACCCAGTTTCTGAAATGCCTGAAGCGAACACAATTGCTGGTCCATCAAGCTGAATGCAACCCACCAGGGTCTCAGCAAAGCTCTTGTTTGACGGCCTATGTGGGACCGCCGAAAGAAGTGTTTGGGTTAGTAGCCACACGTTGTGTACACCTTGCCTCAGTAACATATATGATGCCAACAACAGTTTCTCTGGTTTGCAAATATGCTCATGGATTCAAAAACATTTGTGATCCTGTGCATGGTAAATGAATTCAACAGATAATCTACACACATAAAATATCAAATGCAACATTTTATATCAAATGTCACCACCATTCAAAACTCAGCATCCTTTTCTGATTACTTTTCACCCAAATTGCAGTGACATATACTTTCATGTTGGTGAAACCAACATGGAACCAAATTCTGTAATATATTTCGGTGTGAGATCAGCTCTGTGTTGTCATGCTTTTGGCAAATCAGATTTGTTACAGTTGCCAAACGTGTAAGAGGCCTCACAGCAGTTAAAAATCAATCCTAGCAATGGCACCCTTTGTTTCGAGCCACCCTGAGGATTTCAGTAAGCCGGTTTCGCATTGCTCTCAAACTAATGTTTGTTGTTTCTATTTGCTATAATTGATTTCTAGATATTTTTGGTGTTTTGTTTTGTTTTTACTTTTTCTAAATCTAAAATAATTACCTATATTTTAATTTTAATTTGTTGTTAGAATTTTCTTTATACATTTCCAGTATTGTTTTAAGGAAACTAATTCAGGACATCATTCAGCAATGAGCACTGAGACTTGCATAATAAATTCAGTCAATTGCAATGCCTCGTTAAATACTGCAAAATTAAGTCACTTACAATTTAACTTTCTCTAGATGTGTTTGGTTCAAAGTTATAATTATAATATTTACATATTAAAGGGTTGACACTAAGATATATATATATTTGTTTCTCAGGATTTGCAATCTGATATTGCATCCTATGCTTCATTGTATACCAGCCTACTGCAGTTAA